AGCAAATATTAAGAAACACCAATTCCCCTCTTTTGGGTTCTTGTAGCAATCCCATCAATGTCTTGAGTCACTGGCACTGCAGAAGGAAGCACTGACTGGTGTGTTGTATGTGAATGCTCTTTTCTTGTTCACATGCCCTGTTTGGCCACACAGAACTGGCAGGACAGCACGCTGGTGACTGAGCAGCAATCTGCCTGCCAGGAGGGAGTTTTAGGTGCGTAGTTCAGGGAGCAGCTGTGCCCCAAGTTTTTCTTCTCACTGGATTTCTACTGAGCCTCAAGGCATTTGCTCCCTCCATCCAGGAGTGGCTCCAATGACATTTTTCCTGTTCAGGGGTTTCACGGGGCCAGGTTCTGCAGTGAAGGTCTTGGTGTCCAGTTTGGTGTTACCATGGAGCTAAGTTGGGGGACACTGGAATGATGCAACCTCCTGGATGCCTGTTCTAGAATCTCTGTGCCAATATTTGTGCCTGTGTCACCAGTTTGGGGATCTAAACAAGGAGGAACATCAAAACCTTTAGCAGAACTGGCCTTTTGGTGCAAGGCCACTCACAGTAGATTCAGAGGAGCACCAAGGAAGAGCCTGAGGAGGAAGGGAGTGGGGCCACTTTAGCAACAATTAGCCATTGCCTTGCCTTTGCCATGCCATCAGCAGATGCATTGGCACAAGGGGTTTAGGAGTAATTCTACCTCCATCTTCAGACTGGCCATTATTATATTCATCTGTTTGGTCAGTGAGGCAGGGAGAAGCCTCTGTGCCAGTCACAGTTACCTTATAAAACTGTACAGATGTTCCATATTTGGAGGTGAGGCCAGATGGGCAGTGCCTGGTGCTGGATGTACCTTCCTGGCAGTGCCCCTGTGGTTTGGATCAAGTCCCAGTATGTGATGGCAGGAGAGACTGGAGACTCCACTCTTGTCTTTACCCTCAGTAAATCAGTGTAGCTGTGCTGTCATTCAGCTCCCTAAGGGTTGTGTTTCCCATGCTTGTCAAAAGCTTGGACTGTGTCTCCTGGCTTTGTGCTTCCTCTCTCTGCTCTCATTTTGTGGTTGTGTTTTGTGGGTTTTCTTTTCTTCTCAAAGGCACTCTTGACCAAGTAAATACTTTAAAACCCCTCAAACTTGAATGGCCCAGCAACACAGGAACAGATTCCCCACTCTTATTTTGGGTGGTGCTTTCACTGGGGAGCAGGTGATATGTAACCAACTCACTTCTTTGCTGTCTGTCCTGGCTTTTAAAATTATCTTCAATTGGGGCTGGGAACTCTGCCTAACACTTTAAAAGAGGTCTGGTGGAACTTTAGATTCCACCCCTGCCCTGTCAGCAAAGAATTAAGTATAATCATGTTTATTCAGATTTTTCTGTCAAAAAGCAAAATATTCACATTCCTTTTTTTTTTTTTTTGTACAATTGCATAAAACCTCCCATCTGTGCAAGGTGCATGGGTTAATGTCACCCAATCTTTGATATGTTGCTCTGTCAAATAGGAAAGTACTTCTGCAACATTCATAGGAGAAAGACTGTGTTAGAGACAGCAAAACAAGTGCTGACATCCTCGAATAAATTTAAACATTTCAAATCACTACCATTTCAAATCAGAGGTGAGGCTATGCATCAGTTTTAAGTGACCTGTTCCTTGGTCTGTAAGAAACTTGTTCCAGAGCAGCAAAATAAACAGAAATCCCCTGAATCCATGTGCAGCCTTCTGCTGGACCAAAAGGGTCATTCAGATTAGGTAAAGTTAAAAATAAATAAATAAATAAATAAATAAAGCCTAATAGACTTGAAGTGTTTAATGATGAATATGCTCTACTACCCTCTATCTCCTCACTTGTTAATGCTGCTGGATGCCATGGATGGCTGACTCCCTGCAGATGTGCATCTCCTTCCAAAGAGCTGCTCCTCTTCCAGCCCTGTGCCCGTGTTCTCTCTTGAGCTGTGAGGGTTGAATAGTGCTTAGGCTTAAATTTTGTGCACACAGGGAGGGTGCATGGCTTTCTATGGATATGCAGTAATAGGAAACTACTGTTTGGTGGTACAGAGCTGTATCAGTTTCCTGGCTGACCCACGGATAACATCTGTTCCTTTTGTCTGGTTGCCCTTTCCAGAAGCTTTCTGCAGCCAAATTCTGCCTTCCCTTCCAATTTAAGTATTGATAAGGGGTTTATGTGGTTGCTTCCCAAAAGCTAAATGCTGTGAGGTGCAAAACTGCTCCCTTCAGGAGGAGAAGACCCAAAAGAGACTACAAAAAAAGCACTGGGAAACTTTGTTTGACAAGGTGCTGAATATCATTCTCCTGTATTGGAGTGGAAAGAATCTGACTGCAGATGGTACTGGGTTCCTCATTTTAGTGTATTTGATTTTGGTGCACCAAATATTATCTAAAAGTCTACCTTGACAACTCTGCTTTGATATTAGTTTGAGGGTTTAAGATTTTGTGGATTTTCTTGTGACTTTTGTTTCCACTGGCTTTTAGAGGTGTACCCTCCAAAAAAAAACCACAAAAAAAACAACCTTGTGGCTTTATGAGAAAAACAAAAGCAAGGGCAAAACCTGTAGGCAGGTGGGAATGGAATCGTGGATTTGACCTTCCCCAGGAAGCAGCAGCAAAAAGAACTCTGGATCTTTTCTAATGTTAATCTGGTAAAACATCCTGGGCTCAATATCAGGGAGCACATTTAACAAAGCATTTAAACCCTGTAGAAATGACCTAACCTTGTCTTCTGTGGATTGCAGCCCTGGCTGCCCCGTGGAAACGCTCAGATGGCGGGTTCTGTGACTTGCTGGGCCAACACCACATCACTTCAGCCCTGGGTAACGTGGGGGCTGCAATGGGAACTGCATCTGGAGGCATGTGAGGGCCACTTTGGGGCTGTGGTGATTGGTGTTGGGATGGAGGGACACTGTCCTGCACAGAGAGCGCTACCCAAAAGGTACTTTAAAAAACCAAACAAGTTTATTCCTTGCTGTGAGCACCACAGTAAAGACCTCAATCTGTTGGTCCTCTGCCCTGTGGGAAGTGCAGCCCGGTTTCTGTGAGCTCTTGACCGGCTGCTGTGACACCTGTTTGCTGCTGAGTCATCTCTGTCTTGTCCCAGCAAAGTCCCAAAGTGCCTCTTTCTGCCAAGGGTAGGAAACTCCCGTGCTCGGAGCTTATTCTTGTTTGCTTTGCTTTTTAGACAGACACAAAGCTCCTCTAAAGCAAAAACACAGTGAATTTTAAGCAAACACAGCTGTGTGTTTGCCTTGGAATGGCAGTCATTTCTGTGCCTGTGGCTGTTGCCCTTGTTCCCTCAGTCAAAATGACCTGACGGTTCCTCAGGGGTGCATCTCCATCAGCACCATCAGGTGCATCACTCTGTAGCTTCAGGTAGGACTTCATCAAACATGACAGGAAGAAAGGGAGCTTTGGCTTGGGCTTTAGAGGTGCTTGCAGTGCCCCAGAGGAGCCTGTGCTTCCCCTGGTGCCTCCACTGCTGTTGTTGAAGCAGCTGTTGGAATCTGCTGCCCCAATTTGCTGCCTGAGCTGTTTTCTCTCTTGTTCAGCCACAGAGTGTCTTTAAAAGAATCCAGACTGGGACTCTTTCCTTGCTGCTCGTGAGGGGGAAGTGTTGAGGGCGCAGTGGTGCTGTCTTTACTCCCCCTTGGATCTGGGCTTCCACGGAGCTGTTCTCTGGAAGCTTAAACCGCCAGAAAAGCTTCATATTTATTTTGCAGGTGAAGCTTTCTGCCTCACCTGCCTGAGGAAATCCAAACCTTTTGTTGGAAACTCCTCCTTAGGCTGCTTTAGCTGCAGCACAAAGCCTTGCTCTCTGGAGGAGAGAGGTGGGTGACAGTGCTGGGATGTTCTTATCTTCCTGTTGAACTGGCAGGGAGCCGTCTGGGATAAGCTGTCGACAGGCTTAGGGCAAATAATAAGTTCTGTGAGACATGGAGTCATCAATAAAATGTTGGCCAGCCCTTGGCGTGGCAAGTTGGTAAATGATGAGGTGGCACTGGGGGTCACCCATTTTTCGTCTTTAAAGAATTTGACAGGAAACTTTTGGAGAGAGATGTCACCACAAAGGGAAGGGTGTTCCTAGAGGACAGTATATGATACCAGGTGATGTGTCATTGCCTAGAGGAAGGGTAGAAATGCTCCAAAGTTGCCAGTCTGAGAGACTGAAGGTGTGTTGGAAAAATCGTAGAACAATAAGGCTTTTGTTCAATAGAGATTAAAAATAAAAAATGACTAAGAAAATAAATCTCACCAGAGATTTTTCCTCTTTTCTTTTTTTCCCCAGCTGAGGAGTGATTAATCTGAAATGGAAAACTCTGTTCTGTTACCAAGCTGACCTGTAGCTCTCTAGAGCAAGCATAATATAGTTCCCTGTTACATTTTGCACATTTTTGTTTTTCCTCACAGAACTTCTGCTTTTACAAGTCCATTTATTAGCCATTTACAGTGGACCTCTTCAAGTAGCCTGGAGTCCTCCTGCAATTCCATGTCCAGGAGGACAAATCTCTCCAGGGACGTCCTGAGGAGAGCATTTTTCTGGATAATGTCAGTGAGATGCCATCAATTCTATGGCCATTTTGTGTACAGTGATCTGGGAATCAACAGCTATCAATTGCCATATCATTTCTCCCCACGATCTGTTTATTTATTTATTTATTTTATTTTTTAGAAACTTGCTAACACCATCCTCTGACTCTTTGCTGTGGCTTGCTTTTAGAGCTCCTTACCCCACGGAGTGTCTATCCAGCCTTGCATTCCAGCTATACAGGTGGGTATTTTCACTGTTCTATTTCTGGAGAAACCTTAATTCTAAAACCACTGTAAGTGAAGTTGGACATCGCAGGGTTTGCTCTGGAAAGGTGAAGTTGTGGTTAAGTACAAAAGATGCAGTTAAGAGGTGCCTTAAATGTCCTCTGTCTACAGCTGCAGTGTTCTTCATGCTGGTCTAATATTCCCACTGCAATTCCAATATTTGCTCTCGTCTTGCCTCAGATACACTCCCATGTGCTTGGTCTGCCGTTCCCTGTAAGGTCAAAAGGAGGAGCTCTGAAGCTGTTGGTAAAACACTGCAAGCTAATTCCCCTAAACCCTCCTGATCGGCAGCACTCTGTTTCTATTTGCCTGACTGATTAGTCACCTACTGAATGCTGGTATTGCCAAACCTTACCTCTTCTACTCTTGTCAATAATGTAAATCAGGAGAAAATGGAGGTCTTCAGCTGTTTTCTCCTGCTGCTTGAGATCAGTGATGTTTATTGTCCCAGACCCCTACCTGGCTCTGCAGCAGCACTTTGCTGGACCCTTTTCCCCTCTCTGGCTTTGTTTCTGAATCTGTAGCAAATTTACACACCCACCACTGTGTTTGTCACTTCAGACTCCATCTCCCACCTTTTCTTTCCAGAAGAAGGAAGTGCCAGACCATAGATTTGTAGGTGCCCTCAGAGACACTGGCCTCTTAAAAACCTTTTCCATCTGAGCAGTGAATTCTCTGGTGTCCTGAAAGCAGGGGCAGGGGAGTCTCCTGCTTTCTTTGGTCCAACCCCAAACCTTGTTCTGCGAAATCCACCACTAGACCAAGTCCCTAAGTGCCAGACCTGCATGTCTGTTAAACACCTCCAGGGCTGGTGACCACTTTCCTGGGCAGCCTGTGCCAATGCTCGATAGCTCAGTGAGTAAATGTCTCCTAATGCCCACTCTAAACCCCCCCGGCCCAACTTGAGGCCATTTCCTCTGGTCCTGAAATGCCACAACCTCCCCTTGCTGCTCCCTCATGTGCTTTTGTGCATTGACTTTTGGGGTCCCAGTGGTGGGCCCAAGGGGTGCTGGTTATGCTTTAACTCCACTTTACAGGGAGGAAAGGGCAGAAATGCTGCTGCAAATGCTGAGAATGCAGCCAGAATGATTTACCTGTTTGTTGCTGCATCATTAATAATCTCTTTCTCTCCATCCTTCCCTTCTGCCAGAAGAAGAGAGGGAGTAAGGGCAGGAGGGTAGGGGAATTGTATATCCATCACCAGGACTGATTTTGAGGGGAAAGACACATTGTGGATCAGAAGAAAAAATCTCATGCTGGGAAACAGCTGTCAGGGCAGCAGCTCCACACAGTGTCTGCTGACAGAGCTCCAGGAATGTTCACGAGGAGCGGCCCGGGGTCATTCTGCGTGTATGTCTCATGTCCAGAATAGCCTGGAATTCTGGAGGATGACAGATGAGGCCCCAAATGGTGTTCCCAGAGGTTGTGCACCCATGAAGATGGTACCTGCCCAGGAAGGAAGGTTTGTGATCTGCTGCCACGTCTGTCAGAGTCTATTTCTTCTTTCCTTCCCTTCAGATCCCGACAGCAATCCCAGGAGAGCAGGCTCTGGCTGGAGAGAGGATGCTCAGGGTGCCCAACTCCCTGCTGAAGCTGCCCAGGGTGCTGCTGAAGCTGCCCAGGGTGCTGCTGAGCCACAAGCACAGAGCTCTGTCCATCCTCATCTTCGTGCTGGTGTCCCTTGCTTACCTCACGCTGCACTGGAGAATTGCAGAGGACTCCTGCAGCAGTGGCCTCCACGACCCGCCTGGGCCATTCAGCTGCGCTCACTCGGTGCCTTTTCCCCTTCCCCACGCCGGGGAGCCCCCTCCTGCCGGAGGGAATGTGTTTTTCGTGGAGACCTCGGAGCGGGCTGCCCCGGGTTACCTGTTCTCGTGCTCCGTGGAGTCCGCGGCCAGGACGCACCCCGGGACACGTGTCGTGGTGCTCCTGAGGGGCTTGGCCAAAGGAAACGCCTCCTTGCCCAAACACTGGGCTTTCTCCTTGCTGAGCTGCTTCCCCAACGTGGAAATCCGGCCCCTGGACTTGCCGGAGCTCTTCTCTGGGACGCCTCTGAAGAAGTGGTACCTGTGGCCTCTGCGGCGCTGGGAGCCTTATTTCCTACCCGTGCTGTCTGACGCCTGCAGAATCGTCCTCATGTGGAAATTTGGTGGCATCTACCTCGACACAGACTTCATTGTGCTCAGGAACTTGCAGAACCTCACCAATTCCCTGGGGATCCAGAGTGAGGATGAACTGAACGGGGCCTTTCTGTCCTTTAAGCCCAAGCACAAGTTCATGGAGCTTTGCATGAAGGACTTTGTGAAGAACTACAACGGCTGGATCTGGGGACACCAGGGCCCAGATCTCCTGACACGTGTCTTCAAGAAGTGGTGCCCCATCAGGACTATCCGGAGCATGAGCTGCAGAGGGGTGAGGGCTCTTGCCCCAGAAGCTGTTTATCCTATTCCCTGGCAGGACTGGAAGAAGTTATTTAAGGCAACCAGTGCCTCAGAGCTTCACAAACTCCTTAAGAACACCTATGCAGTGCACATATGGAATCAAATGAGCCACAGGACCAGGCTAGAGATCCCTTCCCAGGCTCTGCTGGCTCAGCTCTATTCTCAGTTCTGCCCTGCCACCTATGCAAAGATGAAACAGGACTCTCAAGAGCGGTCAAGGCTTGCAAAGTGACCTGTGGGCCCTTGGCAGCAGGAAAATTCCCTCACTTGAAGCAAACTGAGTGCCTTTGACCTCCCATAGGGTGCTGAGGTGTTTCAAATGTTCACCAGAGCCTGAGTTCAGCCTCTCTTGTTGTCCTTCAGGACACTTGGTGCTGCAGGGAAGGTTGAACTCGTTCATCAGTGTCTCTCAGTCAGTTCTCTGTTGCTGTTCTCTCAGCTGTTCCCCTGTGCATCAGGGTCTGAGCAGCCTCTCGTGCACTTTCAAGAGCTGTAGGAACCCTTGGCTTGCTCTCTGCAGCATTTATGGAATAGCACAGAATATTCTGAGTTGGAAGGCACCCAACTCCTGGCCCTGCACAGGACCATCCCCAAGACTCACACGCTGTGCCTGAGAGTATTATGCAAACAGTTCTTGAGCTCTGTCATTGGTGCTGTGCCCACTGCCCTGGGGAGCCTGCTCAGTGCCCTCTGGGGAAGAACCTTTTTCCAATATCCAACCTAAACCTCCCCTGACACAACTTCAGTCCATTCCCTGGGTCCTGTCCCTGGTCCCCACAGAGCAGAGATCAGTGCCTGTCCCTCTCTTTCCCTTCCTGAGGAAGCTGCAGATGCTGTGAGGTCTCCCCTCAGTCTCCTCTTCTCCAGCTGAACACACCAAGTGCCCTCAGTGCTCTCCAGCATCTCATTCCCCAGTCTGTTCCTGCATCCAGGGTTACCCCATCCCAGGTGCAGAGTCCAGCACTTCCTCTTGTTGAACTTCACAGGGTTGGTGATTGCCCAGTCCAGGTCTCTCTGCAGGGCCTCCCTGCCTTCGATGGAGTCAACAGACCCTGCAAATTTTGTATCTGCAAACTTACTTATTATTCCATTGAGTCCTGCATCAAAATCACTTTTGAAGATTTAGAAGAGCACAGGGCACAGATGTGGAACCCCACTAGTGACAGGTCACAGTCTGATGTCACTCAACTCACTGTGACCCTCTGTGCTCGACCTGTGAGCCAATTGCTCACCCACCACATGGTGTTTTTATCCCACTGTGGGCTGGACATTTTGTCCAGAAGGATCCTGTGAGAGACAATATCCAAAACTTTACTGAAATCTGAAAAGATCACATCAGCTGGCTTCCCTTGATCAGCCAGGTGGGTCACTTTGTCCTAAAAGGAAATCAGGTTTGCTCAGCAGGACTTTCCCCCATGAGGCCATTCTGGCTGTGACCAGTGACTGCTTTGCCCTTCAGCTGTTTTTCAGTATCTCCCAGAATAATCTTCTCCATAACTTTACCAAGCACTGAAGTGAGACTGACAGGCCTGTAGCTTCCAGGGTCATCCTTCTTGTCCTTTTTGCAAATTGGAACATTACCCAATTTCCAGTCAACTGGGACTTCTCCAGATTCCCAATACAGTGCAAAAATCATCGAGAGAGGTCTCACAGTGGCATCAGCAGCTCTTTGAGCATTCTCAGATGAAGTCCACCAGGCCCCAGAGATTTGTAGGGATCCAGCTGGAGCAGCAGAGAAGGCTGATGTAAATTTAATGTGAACCTGATTCAGCCTTTACTGTGAGCAGCAGTATGTTTCGTGTTTGTCAGACACTGAGTCTCAGAGCACACTTCTGATTAAACACTACACTGCAGACCAAAAGAGAGGGAGTCACCAATTTTTACTTGAAATGAGTTGTATAAAACAGCACATTAACTTATTCTGCTGTCTGGTCCTGTCCATCCCCATCCATTCCTCCCCTCCCCCCCACACCACACTTCTTCTGGAAAAAAAAAAGGGTGTAGACTGCTCTAACTACGAGTCTTCACTGCTGGTGCTGAGCAGCACTGGATATGCTGTTCCAATGTGGTGCCCATGGCGCCAGACAACAATCTGTAGCTCATACTCATCTATTTTCACTGTTTCACGGGTGACTTTTTCCTCAGACAGCAGGAAGATGACGGTGTAAAGGGCAAATTCGAACTCCGGGCTCACACCAATAAAGGTGCTCCCGACCGGCTTCACCGAGCCCTTCCAGCTGAACTGGATGCTCAGAACTTGGTCATCTTTGTCAGGCTGAAAGCATAAACAAAACAACAGGATAATCTCAAACACAGCTGGGAGAGAGGGCAGGTAGGATTTCTGATTCCAGGTTTTTGAGAGCTTTGCAAGATTTAGTCATGCTTGGGGTGTATGATCACTTATTTCAATTAAGCCCTAACGGTGTTGCAATTCTGTAATCACCAGCACTCCTTTTTAGATCAGTTTTTGCCAAAAAAGGAAGCTGGAAGGCAGGGTGATATTTATTCTGCTTATCTACAGTTATATAACTCATTACTGTCCAAAACAGCTGAGGCTGTGATTGCATCACTGAGCCTTGTTTCATTACCACAACTTTTATCTCAGGATCCCTTTTTCTTGCTTGCAAAGGCACCCTGCTTGCTCTTACCCTGGTTTTGTTCTTCCGAGTGACATATCCCTTGTAATCAATTTGGTTGCGCTTCTCCTGAAGGTAGAATTGCACCCAGTTGTGCAAACCTAAGATCTCTTTGCCATGTCTTGTTTCTCCAACAAAAACATGCTCAAAACCACAAGAGTCAGGTCTGTAATAAACAAAAGGACAATATACAGGTCTTTTATGTTTGTCTCTGAGCAGTGATTTCAACACCTAATTTAGGCAACATTCATAGAATCGTGGAATGGTTTGGGTTGGAAGGGACCTCCCACTGTCCCAGGTTGCTCAGAGCCCCATCCAACCTGGCCTTGGACACTGCCAGGGATCCAGGAGCAGCCACAGCTTCTCTGGGCAACCTGTGCCAGGGCCTCCCCACCCTCCCAGGGAAGGATTTCTCCCTGATATTCAACCTTAACCTGCTCTCTGTCAGTTTGAAGCCATTCTGAGGATGTCTTCCAGTTCAGTGGCACTCTAATCTTACCTAAATCAGAACAGCACAGGAATGAACAGGGGCCATACCCATCAAACACACCTGTCTCCTCCTTTCCTGGCGTAGAGCTGGAACCAGATGTCATAGAGCTGATGTTTGAAATCAGCAAGGTTTGGCTTTGCTAGGTTTTTTTTGAGCAGATATTCATGAGCTCGCTGAAGGATAGAAAAGCAAGGTACAGACACAGTTTACTTTTTAATTCAGTATTTTCAGTGATGAGAAAAGATCTGTAATACTTACCCTCATGACTTCTGTTGCTAAGATAGCATCAAGAAAACGATTGTTTTCAGCTATTTCTTCTGGAGTCACTACTTCAGCTACACCAGTTGATGTCTCATAGTTGTCCAATAAGGAAATAAAGGCTGCAGAAAAAGAGAAACTTCCAGCATGCTCATCCTGATGATCAGGCCATGTGCCTGAGTGTGCCAGGATAAAAAGGTACCATGGAATACAGCTTGAGACATAACCCTTAGAGAAAGCCATGCCTTTATATGTCAAATTCCATTTTCAGGTGCACTGTTGGGTGTAGTTCTTGAGGTGACTCAAGGCCAGATTACTCCTGTACTTTTTAAAGATCAGCATCTACTGAGCTTCCTTACAGAGCCAAGTGCTGAAGCAATAATGACCTGCTATCAAAACAAATCACATCTGGCCACCAGTTACAGACATGGGCTTAGGAGCTTGAGCTGTGCTGGCACAAGGCTTTGTGGGCATTATTTCAGTGGAGGAAGAATACAGCATAAACCTACATGAGATAGCCTGAGAAAAACTAGGGAAGGAAATATAGATTCATGGACATGCTTGAACTACAGCCCCCAGGAGGGATGCATGGACCAGCTGTGGATGTAGAGCTGTCTGCAAGGGCTCAGAGGCTGTGAGCAAAGGGGGAAAGATGAATTTGGTGTGTTTTTTAATACACAGAAACATAGAATCAAAGAATTGTCTGGGTTGGAAGGGACATTAAAGATCACCCAGTTCCAACCCCCTGCCATGGGCAGGGACACCTTCCACTGTCCCAGGTTGCTCAGAGCCCCATCCAACCTGGCCTTGGACACTCCCAGGGATGGGGCAGCCACAGCTTCTCTGGGCAACCTGTGCCAGGGCCTCCCCACCCTCACAGGGAAGGATTTCTCCTTGATATCCAATCTAACCCTGCTCTCTGTCAGTTTGAAGCCATTGCCCCTTGTCCTGTCACTCCAGGCCCTTGGAAATAGTCTCTCTCCATCTTCCTTGTGGGCTCCCTTCAGGTCCTGGAAGGCCACAATGAGGTCACCCCAAAGCTTCTCTTCTCCAGGCTGAACAATCCCAACTCTCTCAGCCTTTCCTCAAGAGTCTCATCCTCTTCACTTTGTAGTGGAAGAACAACAGAGAAACCACAGATTTTGGCTAAGGCAAAAAAGGTCACAGGTAACCTCCAAATTGTGAAAACCCCCTCCAAATGACGTGCAGCCTGAGGATCCTCACCACCACCCAAATAATATATGGTGCTATATCTTAGGCAAACCCATAAATCCCAGCATGGATTCATTTCATGTCTACCACTAACAAAAGAATGGGTCTCACTTGCAAAAGTTTTTATGCTCTTCAGGAGTTCTTCATTTACGCTGTGGAACAGATGTCTGGCTGCATTGTCCTGGACAGCACTGTCCCCTGGCTGTGCTGGACCTGCTTTTCCCTGGGAGAAATACCAGAATAAAACAGTGTGGGAAGTGAGATGTCCTCAGAGGAGACAGGGCCTGCCTTTGGAATAATCCAAAAAACTCCACCGGGATTCTTTGTTAGGAATTGTCTTCCTATGAAACAAGAGGAGATACTGCAGAAGAACTGCCAGCATAAAGTAGAAAAGGCATCATCTCTGATATCTTAAGAGCCCGAAATTTCTCTGTTGACTCAGAGGTGATTGTGATGATTCAGTTCTGATCAATAGCCAGCCGTGTTACTGTGCTATATAAATGACAAACAGAAGTAATGTAGAGCCAAGGGTCCCTCCCAACTCAAAGAAATAAAGAGGACATTTGTGGGCCCTCCTTCCCTGTGCAGTTGTGAGGAGGCTTTCCTGACAGTTTTCAAATTTCCATTTCATAAAGG